TGTATTTGTACACCTTTAAAATAATTCAACAGGCAAATATTGGCTGGGCACGGTGGCACACGCCTGTAATCCCAGGTCTTTGGAAGGCTGAGGTGGATGAGCCCCTTGAGGCCAGGAGTTTGAGACCAGTCTGGGCAACATGGTGAAACCCTGTCTCTACGAAAAATACAAAAATTAGCCGGGCGTGGTGGTGTGCGTCTGTAATCCCAGGTACTCGGGTGGTTGAGGCACGAGAATTGTTTTAACCCAGGAGGTAGAGGTTGCAGTGAGCCGAGATCGCGTCACTGCACTCCAGCCTGGGCGACAGAGTGAGACTGTCTCAAACATAAAAAAAAATAAATAATAATAATAAAAAATATATATATATGTGTGTGTGTGTGTTATGTATACATATATGTGTCTACACACGTCTAAGTGGATTTTTTTTATACGGACCCACATGTTTGTTGTTTTCTTAACACCAAATATTCAAACAGCCACCTTCATGGGATCCATGCGCAGAGGCTGGAGTCCAGCTTCTCCACATGAATCATTCAAATTGTTGGGTTTGTAGATCGTTTGGTCTCACTGATGTATGGCATTTTATTGTGCAACTACGCCACAAGGGAGCACGTGTGCGTGTCCTACTTTCTAACCCTTCGTAACTGTTCTGTTCTCGGCTGCTTCCCTACCTTTTTTTCAGTGCCCTCCATTGTATTTCCAGTTGGTCACCTTGTAGCTTAAATTGAGTTAGTTCATCTTTTTCAATTCCTTTGCTGAGTTACTTCAACTTTTCGCAGCTTCATCAGTGTTTTTTCCCCCTTTGGTCCATTTTCCTTTTGAGATTTAAATTTCTAATTTCACATGTTAATTTTTATTTCTGCAAAGGCCTGTTTAATTCAGACTAGATATTGGTAGTTTTCTTCTGCCTGTGGTTGAGAATTTTCATCAGCTGTAAATTAATTCTCATTTTTTTCTTCAGGTAGTTTTTATGGATGTTATCTTCCATTTTCTGCTCATTTTAAAAGGTTTTACTTTCCTTGTCTTGCAAAACCAGTTGGTTCTCTGTAGGCAGGGGCAAGGGGTTTGTGTGGCTGAGTTCCTTGATTCAAGAATGTTCTGTTGATAGAGTTAAATGCTACCAGTTAAGTGCTGGCATTACAGGTGCGAGCCACCACACCTGGCCTGTTTTTTTCCTTTCTACTGCCACTCTAGGCCCCTGCTGCCCCGTCTTTACCCTCTAGTTTCCACCTGACTCTCAACCCTCACGAGGGTTCTGATGCTGGCTCTAGTGTCAGATGTGCTTTTCTCTGCCTCCACATAAGTTGAAGTTTTTTGGCCAAGCGTGGTGGCTCAATCCTGTAATCCTAGCAACTCTGGGAGACCGAGGGGGGCAGGATCGTTTAAGCCCTGGAGTTCAAGACCAGCCTGGGCAACACAGAGGCACCTCGTCTCTACAAAAAAATAAAAAAAATTACCCAGGCATGACATGTGCCTGTGGTCCCAGCTACCCAGGAGGCTGAGGTGGGAAAACCACTTGAGCCTGGGAAGTCAAGGCTGCAGGGAACCCTGATCATTTCACTGCACTCCAGCCTTGGTGACAGAGCAAGACCTTGTCTCAAAAAAAAAAAAAGAAAGGACAAAGTTGAATTTTTTTTCTGTCTCATAGATATGCTGTAGGCACAGATTATGGGTGACGGCTGTCTTTGGTCTTTATGGTTTTTGGAAGACTACGATAGAGCTTTAGATTTAGGAAGCACCCAATATTCCTTGGAAAACCAGAAGCTCAAGTACCTTCCTCTTAAATGTAAACACACAAGCAAGAAGTACCAAGACATTTAAGGAAAACTTTTAGCATGAAAGACAAAAATTGAAACAGAAAAAAATGTTAAATACTGTATCAATTAAGAGATTACATACTTTAAAATTAGAGAACAAAAAAGAGTTCCTGAAATTTAGAAACCTGATAGCAGACATCATATCCTCACCAGAAGAATGGGAAAACAGATGTACCCAAAGTCAAGACAAAGATACACAGTAACTAGAGAAGAAAATAATGGGTTCAAACCAGTAAAGGTCCTGCCTGGACAAAGGAGTGCCAGAAAGAGAGAACAGAAAATGGATGAAGAAAATTTTTCAAATGTCCCAAACTGGTGGCGTGTGATTTTACAGTCTGCATTCCTAGCACAGAGGTTGACAACTGGCACACATTAAAGCACACTATAAAACTATGGAGCCCTGGGATAAGAATAGTCTATGAACTTCCACAAAGAAAGATTACACAGAAAGAATCGGAAATAAGAATGGCTTCAGATTTCTCAGTATCCACACACAGGAACCTAGAAGCAGTGAGGCAATTCTTTCAAAATTCTGGAACACGATTTCCAAAGGTACCAATGAAATGTGGTGGTAAAACAAAGATACTGGTCTCAGAAAATTTATCATCCATGCATTTATACAGGAAGTAGTAGAGGGCATGCTCCATTCAGTAAACCAAGGAAGATGAAGACATGGGATCCAGGAAACAGAGTGGTGAAGGGAATCTCTAGAACACAGGTGAAGGGAGACCCAAGACGGACAGCTGTGCCCCAGGTGGTAAGGGCAACCAGTCCAGATGGATGCAAGTTAGAAGTCACAGGGAACAAACAAAAAATGAAGACATTAAGGGAAAAAGTAAGTTGTGGAAGAAAGTAACGTCAACATGATTTTACTGTATGTCTCAGCTTTGACTAGCACAGCCATAACAGGAACACAAACCTGATCTCGGTTACAGCATAATAACAGAACGAAGACCAGGGGAGATGGATGTCTGCTTGCCTATGTGTGGTAGAGATGGAGGAACCTTGGAGAGAGATCTGCCATGTGGAGAAGTTAGGAGAAAATGCGTAACACTGAAAAAAATCAAGATGCAGCAATGCAATTATATTATCTAAACTACTGGGCGGGGAGATATCCAAAGAATCATTTAAAACAGTTCAAACTTGTTTTCTCAGGGGAAGAAGGTGAGGGACTACTGTTTTTTAATTTTTTTAAATTAAGAATTTTTAAAGGTAGTAATTTTTTTTTTTTTTGAGACAGAGTCTCATTCTGTTGCCCAGGCTGGAGTGCAGTGGCACAGACTCACTGCAACCTCTGCCTCCCAGGTTCAAGTGATTCTCCTGCCTCAGCCTCCTGAGTAGCTGGAACTACAGGTGTGTGTCACCACACCAGGCTAATTTTTGTATTTTTGGTAGAGACGATGTTTCACCATGTTGGCCGGGCCGGTCTCGAACTCCTCCCTCAGTGATCTGCCTGCCTTGGCCTCCCAAAGTGCTGGGATTACAGGCTGAGCCACCATGACCAACTGGGACTACTGTTTTTCTTAACAACCACAGACAAGTTGATTTAGCCACTTGAACAAAATTAAACAAGAAAAGGAAAGCCCACGCTCAATTCCTGGCTCTCTACCATTTACAAGCTTTGTGACTGTGAGCAAGTCACTTCTCTGATCCTGTTTCAATTATAAATGGAGACAAAATTTGCTTTGCCTACATTTTGCATGTACTAGGAAAAAAAAGTGTAAAGGTATTTTGTAGAAGACATTTGGAATAATTTTGGCAGAAAACATCCTAATCTCAATGAAGTAAAGACCTTATCCAGTAACTTTTTGACCCCAAGGCTATCTTGTTCAGAGCAAAAATTATCAATAATTTTTGATGATTGTTTAGTAATTATTTAATAAAAAGAGCTTCAGCTACTTGCAGCTGTTTAGGCTCTCCCTATCTTGTGAAGTGGCTTACATGTAGTGTGTTCTACTTATGAAACTATTTCCAGCTCTCGAGGCCATGCCCTGCACACATCTCACTGGTTCCATGGTACATACTTGCACATCGCCATGGTTCAGATAAAATTCAAACCAAAAGCAGAATCTGGGGGATAAATTCATGACCTGAGAAGTCTAAACAACTATCTTTGAAGCAATGGAGAGTAGATAGTTACTTCTGAATATTTACAAACTAACTGAAAAAATCCAACATACAATTATGTTATTAGATATGACATAAATATGTATCATTGCAGTTCATACCCAAATACAGCTCTCCTTCTTGGATCACATGCACTTTGGGAAAATAATCTGACGCAGTGCCTTCCACCAGTGATTTAATTTAAATCTAAGCTATAAAGTAAGACCTGTCATTAATAAAAACAACACTCCTGCTTCCAAATGATTCACATTTACAACTGATGAAACCATTAGCTATTCAAAGTTCATTAACCCAATTCTCTCTCTCTGCAATTATGCTACCATATTGTTAAAGGAAAGGGGAATAATCCTTGTTGAAGGCCTCCTTTGTTCCATGCAGTGTAAGGTACTTTGCACACTGTATTTCATTTAGGTCTCATACAACTGTTTAAGGTGTATGAGACCTAAGGCTTTTTTATATACAAAAAGCACATCTCAAACTTCATCTCAAACTCATTTGCCCTTTCCTTCAATCCACCCAGCTATATTTCAATGCAATTCCCAAATGTTCTAAGGCTGGAAAATAACACCATGGGAAATTTTTTTTTAAATAAGATGTATAAACATGTATTTTCATCTCACCTTAATAAGAGCTCTCATATTTTAGTGTATGACCACACAAATTAAACTTTTTTGCATATACACAATGGTACATCTATGACAATTAGAGATAAATGCCTAACCCCACTTCCTTTTGCAGTAGAGGGGTGATACAGATCTGTCAACAGCTATGAATGTTAAAATAATTTTTAAAATCCTATTACAAGGGCAAGAATTCAAGTGCTGAGAATCCAAACAGAATTCATGGATCCCACACACAGTCCAATGACCCCAGGGATGTTTCTAAAATTGTTGAACTCCTATGTTTACTGTTCTCTTTCCTTCATTGTCATTTATAGAAAGTTACACCAAATGTTCTACACTAAGCCAGAAAAGCTTTATCTGATGAAAGGGATCATTTGGAAAGCCAATGTATGATAAAGGATTAAAAAACAAAGACAGCTGGAAATAACCACCATAATGTTTTCAAGAACATTTATACATCTTTTTAATTAGATTAGCTTTACAAGCAACTTGAGAGCTCTTTCATAATGAAACACTGCTTTTCAAATTACATGACTTTATAGTCTATCTGTATATGAATCCTGAAAATCTTTGCCTACTATTGATAAAGGTCTGTGTTTTACAGCTGGTTAATGTGTTGAATAAAAACAGCATTATGAAGCTTTATCTTTAACCAGGATTAAACACATATAGGCCACAAACAGTTTTAAATTTTGTTTGAAATAGAGTCCTGCTTGGTGACAAGTTAATAGTCCCACTAACATGAAATGAATGGATATTAAAGAAATGGCCAACCTGATTTCTTGATCTTTTCACAATGATTTCCAAGAGAGTATATAAACTTTTCCAAAAAATATACAATTTAAGACCTGTCTGGCAAGCACAACCCACAGATAGTAGAATCTGATACTTTTTACAACTGTAGAGGTACACATTGAATGACAACAGGGGCTCCCAAATTAAAAGGCTGTGGCTGTACATCTTGATAATCAAACAAACCTCCCATCAACATAAAACAATTTCTACTAACCCTAAAAAAGATAATGCTTTTGAGTTGTGGCCTAACGCCGCGCACTGTACTATAGACCAGATGGCAAAGACAACTTGCGCTCCCGGGTTGGGCTGGCAGAGGCACTTACTGTAGAGAAGTGATGTTATCATCTGGAAGGAAGGGGAAGAAGTAGAACAAAACTGAATATGGGCGAGGAAAAAACAACAAGAAACTCTCACTTTCTCCTGCAAATTCTCCTAAGTGAGGTCACTATACTGAACATTCAATCTCACCCTAAGTCCACACTGTTGGCTTCACTACCCAATTTTTTTTTCATGTTTTACATGAATAGCAATGGCAATCTTTTAATAAAAATTACTGAGCTTCCCATAGAAAAGGTCTCTAATTGAATACAAACTATACAGATGCTAAAAACAGTTGAAATATACAGAAAATTTCTGTATACTCACATTTTGGCAAAGAAGATCAAGGACAGAGATAGAAAACCTAAGCGGGCAAGGTCTTACACCCATAATTCATGCAAAATATGGATACCACCCTTTAGGTTTTGCTAAAAAGCCTAGGAAAGTGAAGTCTAAGCCATCCGTCCCAATTCATTCTTTACATAACAAGTCTGGGAGGCCTTGTGTGATTTTCTAATATTCCTTCGTTGTTTAAAAAGTAAATAAAACCCATGAAACAAAATAAAATTATCTGATTTTGCACCTGTTTTGTTTTTTCTAAGCTAAACATCTTTCAGTACACGTAAGAAGGCTGGCATCACATCTGGGAAATGCCTTAACAGATATGTGAGGAGTTACTGCACATTAAGTCAGTAACAACACACTTCGGTTTCAATGTGTACATAATCTCCCCCTGATGCTCTTCAACAGAGACGAGGTTCTTGTCTGCAGATCAGACAGATCACAGCATTAGAAAAAAAACATAACAGCAAATTTGGAAGTACGATCAATTTAAGGAGAATCAAAAGGAAAAGACTTAGAAATGGGACATTATTGTCTACATCTACAGGATACATATACCTGAAAGCTTAAGAAAGCCCTTATCTTAGGAACTTGAAGTTGAGGATAATCTCAAGTTCACTTAGTGCCAGTCACTTTAGTTTTTAAAAAAATTTAACTTAAACCCCAGCCTAGGCAACATGGCAAAACCCCGTCTCTACTAAAAATACAAAAATTAGTCAGGCATGGTGGTGTGTGCCTGTAGTCCCAGCTAGTTGGGAGGCTGAGGTGGGAGGATTGCTTGAACTTGGGAGGCGGAGTTTGCAGTGAGCCGAAAATGCACCACTGCACTCCAGCCTGGGTAACAGAGCAAGACTGTCTCAAAAAACAAACAAAGAAAAAAAAAAATTAAACTCTTCTTATTGTGTCTTTTTCCTTATAAAACATTAACTAAAAGTTATTGGTAGTAAATGGCAACTGTTTTACAATTAGGTTTCATTACTGACAATGTCAAAAAAAGCAGCAATCTTGAAAAGTTCAAATTAGTGTAAGATAGGAAGGACTACAAAACAATCTGATTTTTCAGTTGTAATTAAAGTGCTCCTTTTCTTATTTTAAGTAAAATAAAATTAATCATCAGTCACTGGCAACAATCATTATTAAGAGGTCTTTTAGGGCAAAATTTAATAGTATGAAGATGTTTACAAAAATAGATTGATGTTATTTTGAGGAATAATACTGTAATTTTTTCTCAATTCAGTTTAGATAAATTGTACCTAATATAGAAAAATTATCCCAAATTCAAACTTGATATAAAAAAGGGAGAGATGAAATGAACTCAGCTAGATAACAGATCTGGCAAAATATAAGAATGAAAAAAATTCTACACAGGGCACTTATTTCATATCCAGACGTAAAAACCATTTTCAATTAGTAGCTTATCTTCTTCCTGTAAGCAATCACAGATTCGAAGTTGATCATGCAGTACAAAGTCACAGCAGTCAAAATCTTCTGTTTGATGCAACACAAAAAGTTGTTTCTGTTTCCTTATTAAAATGCGAACTGGTTGTCTATTTTTCTTTATCCCATTTATTCTTATTCACAAGTTAACAAATAGCGTCAACAATTATTGTAGATGAAGTGGGGTATTGCTGGATCAAAGGCTCTAGAAGACGTCTTTACCGACTGAATCTGAAGGTTTATTGAGTTCAACCCTCACACCTTTTTCACCTGCAAGGCAAAAAAAAAAAAAAAAAAATTCATTTATTTGCTAAGCACCAGAGAGCTTCTGCTACTGCATTCCACTGAATTCCTAATAGTATGGACAATATTTCAACTTTGCAAACATCATCTGAAAACTATCACACTTGTACTTTCAAAAACTTCCCTCAGCATTTTATTGTCATGAGGTTTCGAATAGTAAACCTTCAAGGATAAAACTATCCTCTACACAGAGATAATGATTTTGTCTTTTTATTTTAAAAGCCATTTGAATTTCTTCAACAGAGTGTTCAGTGTCTCTGAAAGCACGCTAATGAGCTTCTGCCATAAATAATGGCTTTAAAAATACATAGAAAATGCATGAATATTCCATTTTTATGTAAGGTTGACGTGCAATTACCAATGGCTCTGGAAGACACGGCTAATCAGTAATGTGAATACTCAGTGGATTTTTGGAGATAGAAAGTAGAGTTAAAGAAAAGAAGGTAAGTGGTCCATCAGATGGGAAACAGACCCCCTGCTCTTGGAGAGGCAGTCCATAAGTGGAAGAGAAGGGGAACTGGCATAATTGAAGGATCTTCAGGTTCAGTACAGGAGTGCTGACTGACCTATGTACACCATTAGCAGATAGGGAATCTACATGTCGTGTCACTTACTGATTTTGGCATTTCAATTCATCTTCTTTGTATTAATTTTCTTCATGTCTACATTTAACATGGAAGACCTAGAGTACTGTTTAGAGCACATACATTTGAAAAGGAAAGGGTATTAATTTAAGGAGTGAATGAGAGGAAACCAGATGGCCGTCACCTAGAGTTAAGTGGCCTTTAACTGAAAAGGATAATCACAGAAAACTCAGTTTGTATTTGAATAATTTACTCAGACTTCTTTGCCTCAAATTTTCCGCATCCTTTGACAATTTTTTTGGTTAAAGATAACAATGAAGATGACTTAAATCTTCTTAAAAAACAAGGCAAATAAGAAATCTGATAAAAAACAAAAAGTAAGTATTCGTGGTGTTAACAAAGACTATGCTTGAGTTTCCTGAAAGCATCACCTGATTGCAGGGTATTTCTGTACCAATATATCCTGGCCCCAAATGACGTTTACCTGTTAGATATTTTACTTTAGCTCGTGCTCTCTCATCTGCATCAAAATACCAAACAGTTATTGCGTACCTAAAAGAAAATTTAGAATAGGATAAGAATGATCACACTGCGGGGAAAAAGTGGTATTTTGCTGCAATGGTATATTAAAACTTGTAATGCCAAAATTATGCCTAAATTGGAATGATTATCAAAGGATAAATTTAACAGCTTATTTATACAGTAACCTTGGTGCTAAAGAGTATAGCTGAGAACCAGGGGAGGCTAAAATTGATGCCTGACGTTGATGAGTTTTTGTGACTTTCTTAACACTTATTTCAATTACTTATTTTTTGCCAGGGAACTGCAGATCAGAAAGACACAACAGGCCAGGCACGATGGCTCACGCCTGTAATCCCAGCACTTTGGGAGGCCGAGGTGGGTGCATCACGAGGTCAGGACTTCAAGACCAACCTGGCCAATATAGCGAAACCCCATCTCTACTTAAAAAAAAAAAAAAAATCAGCCGTGCGTGGTGGCACATGCCTGTAGCCCCAGCTACTCAGGAGGCTGAGGCAGGAGAATCGCTTGAACTTGGGAGGTGGAGGTTGCAGTGAGCCGAGATCACACCACTGCACTCCAGCCTAGGCGACAGTGTGAGCCTCCATCTTAAAAAAAAAGAGAGACAATGAAAGGGTAAAAGAATGGCTGTTACAGAAAAAGCACATTATCAATAGCATAAGTACTAAAAGAAAAGAAAAGAAACAGGTAAAAGGACTCAAGGCATTGCAGGCTAACAGTTTCAACAGTCCCTGAGGACATCACTACATTACAGCAAAGAGTAATGATGGATGTTTACAATTACAACCTTGACAAAGTTAAATTACACTAAGAAGTTTTAAGGATTTTTATCATAGCAATTATACTGTGTTTTGTGTTTAAACTTTGTCTAAACTTCATTTTTCTGAAAATCTGACTTACTTAGAATATTTCATTCCACCAATAAGTGAGGCATCTCTGGTTTATTAAATACTACAAAAGACATAGTTATGCCTTCTGATATAAATAATGGGGAAAATGTACAAATGCTATAGAAAGTGAAAGTATACTACAAATCACCAGTTCCTAGGCAGAATATAGCAATTAGTTCAAATATATTGTGGATTGTGGCCAGTGGTCACAGGGGAAAAAGCAACGTTGATCAGATATAGAGCCAGTAAATATGACAGAATGAAAAATCACGTAACGTATTTTGAAGTAAAGAGTCTGGGAGTTTGGACAACTGGGAGCCTGAGGTGTACAGACCCCACCACTGGTGAATCACAGAGCTGAGATCTAAGGAGGCCTCCTGACTTCCAGACCAGACTCTGCTGTTTCCAGACTGCCACTACCTTTCTTACCATGTGGCTGCTTCTACTTTCGGGTGGCCCTGGAAATCGGAAAGGGCTCAGATACATAATTGTATGTATCTTTTGCCCATGCCCTAAACTTTTAGTTACTTAGCAATCAGAATTCTACTATCTGGATCAACAACTTACCTTATGTCATTCTAACTTTCCAGCCTCATCACCCATTCTAGATAAGATCAGAATAGGATTCTACTTCAAGAATCCTTTTTCTCACATGATTTTCTGTGCCTTAACTGGAACAACTACGCCTTTTCCCCCAGAACTTTACTAACACGACTGCACTCCTTGCCTCTCCTCACCTACGCCAGCTAAGCCTCACCCTTCAAGGCGCACTTGCCCATCTCTCCAATGTAGCACCACCTTCGTTCCTCTTAACTCCTGTAGCACCTAGCCTCCATGTCATCTGGCATTTATTTACTATAAACTCCCAAATGTCTGTTATTTATTTATCTAAAAAGGACACAACCAAACACTCAAGATTTCATAAAAAGGAAGGTCTATGAGGCAGTTTCTGGGTCAGAAAATCTTTACAGAAGCAGCAGGGGGCAGAGACGGCACTGAGATGCCACTGGGAAGAGACACTGAATTGAAAAGGGCACATTATGTGATGTGACAGTCTTTCTTTGGTTTCCATTCAGGATTTCTTACCATCTCTGGCTACAACCTGCTTAGCTTGCTACTTATTATGTGAATTAGGATGCAGGCAACACATCCCAGAATGCAGGAAGAAAAAAGGTACAGCTGATAATCAAGTCGTTAGAGTCAACCATCACTACTAACGCCAACTTTCCACCCAGCACATCTAAGCCTGTGCCTCTTCTCGCCGCCCTAGCATCTCCTAAGTCAGATACAGCAAATGAATGTCAGGAGGTCACTATCAGAATGTTCCAAGACCTTTCCATAATAAAAAGTAAGTATTTTAAAAACGGTACTATTTTTCTACAAATATTTACTTTCATGATAATGTCTACAATATCTCGTTTTGACAGCCAGAGCATTTTGAGTCAGGATAAATGTTTTTAAAAAAAGCATTTAAAATAAAGCACTAAACATAATAGGCTGCAAATACCCTGTAGAAAAAGTATAATGAAACAGATGCTCACTATTTGTAAAACTAATAGGATCATTTTTCTAACATTAACTGCCACACATGGTAACCTGTTCTCTACTTTTCTTTCTTCCGTTTTTCTCTTCACTTCTACTCTCTGGTTACCTCTGATTTTTCTACTATGTATTCATTTTCCTATGTTGTCCCTCTCTTTTGTCCCTCACCACCTTTTAAAAAACCCTTTTCCTTTTCTTGATCTTTCTCTCTCCCAAGTAAAATACTCCTACAAAAATCAAAGAATGGATAGTAGTTAAGAGATGCACTAAGCAAGGAGAGAGTGCTAGAAAGATGGGAGGGCCTGTGCTTCCCTTTCTTCAGAGTGGCTGTGCAGAGAAAGACACATTTAGTACTAACTGTTAATGAGTCTTATACAATTATTTGAATTCAGATGACTGTGCAACATAAATCTTATACAATTATTCAAATTAAAATGACTGTGAAAAGTACCTGGCAGGAAAATACTCCTTAGAAAGCTTTCAAGTTTACTCTACAGATTCCCTCCTGTCCTACCATACTCTAAACCAATTTTTTCTGAAAAGGAATACTACCTTGTAGCATATGCTGGTTGTACTTCATGAGGGTTGCGACGGTCAGACCAGAAAAACAGCAGTCTATCAAATTTGGGTTCAATGTCAGCAAACTGGGCTTTGCCTTCTGGAAAAATTCGAAGTATACCTCCACTTACCTAGGAAAAGAGACAAATCTGTAAGTAGGAGTAACCAAAAATGCTACAAGATTAAATTTAGGAGAAAAAAAAGAGACAATTTCAATGTCTTAATTGGATTATTCACAAATACATCTCAATTAATAAAGTATGAAGATGAGCTGCAATTTTAAAAGTATATGCATTGATGCAAGGAAAAATTTAGTTCTTATTTCAGGGATATTTATTTATTTATTTATTTATTGAGATGGAGTCTCGCTGTCACCCAGGCTGGAGTGTAGTGGCACAATCTCAGCTCACTACAATCTCCGCCTCCTAGGTACAAGCAATTCTCCGGCCTCAGCCTCCTGAGTAGCTGGGATACAGGTATGCGCCACCATGCCCGGCTAATTTTTGTATTTTTAGTAGAGATGTGTTTTCACCATGTTGGTCAGGCTGAACTCGAACTCCTGACCTCAGGTCATCTGCCCACCTCAGCCTCCCAAAGTGCTGGGATTACAGTTGTGAGCTACTGTGCCCAGCCATTTTAGGGATTTTTATAAGTATCCGATGAAACACAAGAATGTTATCTGAATTTAAAAGTCTTAAAATGATGCTTGAAAGTTTTTAAAACTACTAAACATTTATTTATGCTAATGATATGCTTAACCCACTCTTGAAATAGACTTCAAGAAATTTTGAAAAAATTATTATTAGAAATAGATTATGTCAAATAAAGAGTTTACCATACTTTAAATTTCAATAAACAATAGGATAGTCACAGATACCTCTCATTTAAATAATTCAGTATATCAGTAGAAAGTGTCATCATTTATTATGACCATCATTATTGTCATCATCACCATCACCATCAGCATGTAGTCCATTAGAACCTGTGGCTCTCCCTTTCCAAATTGGGCTTGATGCACCACCTGCTTGTGAAACTTGATTCTATCCATAAAGGATTATTATTTACCTAAACACCAACTAGGCATCAAATCACAGTGGGAACTGTGGTGGACTCTGGGTGCAGAGTAGGGAATAATGCAGACAGACTTTGTCCTTGTGGTGTTTAAGATCTGGGGCTAGGCAAAACTCAACCAAACAAGTAGCTCCTTACTCTTGAATAACTACACTCCGAAGCAGGTAGACTCTTAAAATTGAAAGAAACTCTAACACCTGGTCAGGACAGCATGGACTTTGAGCCTAAACCTAGAATCTATAGTTAAAGCTTTATCAGGCTCACCATCAGGTAAGTTAAATTCTAGCTACTTTGATACCCCTGCCAACCTCCTCAGGTTCCAGTGTTGTTCCGAGTGATTCCCCAGGCTACTATGCAAATATCTGAAGAACCTCCAAACTGAGAACATGTTTTCTTTCCTTTTTTCCTGCTCCCTTCCCTTTGACTCAAGTCACTGAGAGTACCACAGGTGACCTGCTGAAAATGTTTTAAGAGAAATGGCTACTTGACACATCCACTCTTCTTCCTCTGAATTAGGTGGCCCTCCTGTGTGCTCTCATAGCAATCTGTCTTGACACTTTGCATAACTATCTGTAACTGTCAATCTTTCTGATCTGTATCCTTCAATAGATCCTAAGCTCTGCCAGGGCTAATTCCATTTCTGCTATATCCCTAGCATCCAGAACATCTGGCACACTACATATTCAGTGCAATCTTGCAACGGAAAACTTCTATTCCACATATAAAAACACTAGGGATGTTTTTCTGCCTATGTCCTAATTTAAAACCTACATATTAATGACCCTAAGTCTTATAGAAATTGTAAGATCAGCCTAGAAAAAGCCTAACAAAATCTAGAAGTTAGAAGTTGATGAAACACAGTTCTAGCTTTCTAGCTATTCACAAAATCTGAAAAAAAGTCAATTTTTAAATTTTAACTAAAGTTACACCAATCTGTTTTGCGCCTGGAGCTCAAATTCAATTACCAAATTTATTTCTCTACTTCAAACTTTGAAAGCTGTAACAGAAAAACCATGCTTGTTGACATAATGCCTCAATATATACTTAGCAGAAAGTTTAGCTCCATTCTGAACCTGGACTAGGGCAGAGAAAACTCTTCAAATCAGTGTGTGTTTTAAAAAGATTACTGGAGCACTGTGAGCATATTCTAAACTTAAAACACTTTTTAGGGTAGGATTAGGTTTTTGTACATTTAAGACTCAGGCAGTTTCCATGTGTGTGTCTTGGGGGATGCAGAGAAAAAGGTGTTTTAAAGGTTATTTGACCTTTACACCTGGCTACACAAGTATGTTCACTTTGTGAAAATCCACTGAACTATACACAAGCCACTTTTCTATTTGAATATTTTACTTAAGATTTTAAAAAATCAACCAAAAAATTAGTCTGTACAGTCTCTACTGTAGTAATACATGACATATTTTAAAAAATCGTTTAAATTTAATGAGACTCATGCTAATATTAAGAAAATATATATTTAAAACAAGGGAGATTAAATATACTGTACATTCTAATTGATTTTACAGGGCTTGTCAGTACTGATAAAATTCCAGTTTTTTAATAATCAGGGAAAGACTGAATCCTGCCTCCAATATTCAATTAAAAAACTCAATGCCATACAATATTTTTACAAAAATGCAAAGAATAACATAGCAAATAATCCTTATTTCCTTAACAATTATCTATAATCTCCCCCAAAGCCATTATAAAACAACTGTTCTCAGAAGTGTTTGTCTAAAAACTATTAAAAGGAAAATATTTTAATAAAGGTCACTTTTCTAAAAAAGTTAGATTTTAGATAAATGCTCTAATATCTGAAAATAAATGAATCCACTTTTAAAGATTTATCAGTACTTTTTTATATAGTTTTATTGAGTTATAACTGATATACAAAAATGCCTATCTTTAACATTTACGATTTGATGAGTTTGGATGTATATGCACACCCCCGTGACACACCACAACCAAGATAATAAACATATCCATCACCTCTCAAAGTTCGTTTCCCTTCCCTGAACCTCGTGTGTGTGTGTGTGCGCGCGCGTGTGTGTGTGTGTTTACAACACTGAACATGGAATCTACTCTCTTAAATGTTTGAGTAAACAACATTGTTAATTACAGGTATTATGTTGTATAACTTAGACTAGTATTTGTTTCATTTTACAAAAATCCACTCCTAACACCTGAGACTGAAACAAACTTAAGAGGAAAACTTTTAACTGTGTCTGTGACAGTCTCACCTATCAGAAGTATGAACGTAATGCTTTTGTAAGAAAAAAAAAATGCTCAATTAAGTTGCATACCTTGGCATCCCAGTCTTTATTAAGATAATATATACATGTCACACATCTTCCATCTCCATTTGGATTATCAACATGACGTACATAACCCGTTCCATTGCCCGGATAACAAGCAACCATGGCCTGTAATAATAATAATGATGAAGATTATTAAAGTCCACATATAAATAAAAAGAGAGAACAGCTAATAAATCAGATCTCTGATTTTTGGCTACTGATTTACACTTAGATTCTTCTAATAAAAATAATATTTTGTAGATAAGAAAGATAAGGCTATTCTACATTAATATTTATAGGGAACACAAGATAGGCTGATGAACAATTCAAGGACTGGTGAATTCTGCTTCACAGTGGTAACTCCAAAGATCAGAAAATTTTCATTGTCCTACTTTCACAGTCATATAAATATAGATAATCAAGATCAAGTGAGTTTTTGTCCTGCTCCATGGGAGATTTCTCTCTTCCTTGAGCTCACCTAAGAACACCTACTTTACCATCTGATAGGTGAACCAACCCAGTCAAACACCCCACCTGACACTGTCTCTGAATGGTACCAATGTTTTTTTTTTTTTTTTTTGAGACAGGGTCTGGCTCTATTGTTGAGGTTGGAGTGCAGTGGTGCAATCATGGCTCACTGCGGCCTCAACCTCCTGGGCTCAGGTGATTCTCCCACCTCAGCCTCCTAAGTAGCTAGGACTACAAGCACGTGTCACCAGGCTGGTTAATTTTTGTATTTTTTTGTAGAGATGGGGTCTTACTATGTTGTAATAGGGATCATTTAGGTCAACTCAACTCCAAACATTAATTCATTTAATGTCAGTGATTTTTTTTTTTAAAAGACTAAACAAATTAGCTTATGTAAGTTTACCCTCTTTGAATCAGAAAGAAAATTATTTGCTCAGATTATAACAAGATACGATTCAGAAGATTGCTGGATGTTAAGCATAAAGGTAGAAAAGAGGCCCAAAATAAAAAGCACAAAAAAACTTCCATATTCTAGGTGTACATGATAATCAACTGAAATTGGTAAAGGAATTTTTAACAAGTTCTCAGGAATTATGAAGAAAACAGACAAAGACGTTCAAGGTTATGAACTATTCTTGTTTTTGTTTGTTTTTTTTACGGACTCTTGTTCTGTCGCCCAGGCTGGAGTGCAGTGGTATGATCTCAGCTCAATGCCTCCGCCTTCCAGGTTCAAGCAATTCTCCTGCCTCAGCCTCCTGAATAGCTGGGATTACAGGTGCATGCTGCCATGCCCGGCTACTTTTTGTATTTTTAGTAGATACAGGGATTCACCATGTTGGCCAGGCTGGTCTTGAACTCCTGACCTCAAGTGATCCTTCCGCCTCAGCCTCCCAAAGTACTGGAATTATAGGCATGAGCCACCACGCCCCCCAGTTTGTTATGAGCTATTCTTGAAGTCCTTTATTTCTTCATATATTAAAGTCAATGAATTAGCATAAAGTTATCAAACAGTAACCAAATTGTTCTACTATATTAAAGAAAAATGCTAATTTTTAAAATTTACTTCCCATCCCTAAGAAACTGAGAGGCATCTTAAACCTAAATCCTTATTTTAAAATCCTGTTTTCCTAGACACTCTGAATTCACTGCTCTTTATGAGAAGCAGAATTTTTGGAGAACATTATATATGTCTCTGTTTTTCCTGACTCCAGACAGACTTAAGTTCCTTCTTTCAGCACTGGAGGTTGGTAACAACCAGGAGTGTGGCATGGGCTTTGTGGGTTTAAGTGATCAATAAATGATGAGCCCAAATGATTTTCCTGTCACTAGCTACCAAGGAAAGAAGTTTACCTTGAATAGTAACTGTAAGAGAGTACTAATTTAACAACGTAATTACTCCATTTGTGGTTAACTGAGGTAATCATGATGAATTACACAATATATTGTTATTAATGGGAAAGAAGGGGGAAACCTGAACTCTACATCTCAAAAAAGTTAATTTGGGCCTTTCCAACTATCTGGTAACTTCAGTATCTCTTGTGCAAAGAAGGAAGGGGAAAATATTTGTCATTCACTCACCCCATTGCATCCCATATATCCATTTAACAAATACCTCTTGAGCATCTACTATGTATATGAAAGGCACAGGGGCTAAAATGATGAACGAAAGAGACAAGGTCCCTTGCACTCATTGACAGTAGTCCCTCCTTAAAAGAAGTTTTGCTTTCTGTGATTTCAGTTACCTTTGGTCAACTTAGTCCAAAAATATTAAATGGAAAATTCCAGAAATAAATAGTTCATAAATTGCACACCGTTCTGAGGAGTGCACTGAAATACCTTGTAATCCTGCCCTGTTTTGCCTGGGATGAATCATCCCTTTGTCCAGCATATCCACACTGTAGATGCAATCCGCCCATTAGTCATTTAGTAGCCTTCTAGGTTATCAGAGCAATCATCATGGTACTTGTGTTCAAGAAAACCTTATTTTATTTAATAACAGCTCAAAGTGCAAGAGTAGCAATGTTGGCATACTGTTATAATTGTTCTATTTTATTGTTGTTGTTAATCTCTTACTTTATAAATTAAGTTTTATTATAGGTATGTATGTACAGGAAAAAACATAGTATATATAGGATTTGGTACTATCCAGTTTCAGGCATCCACTTTGATCTCGGAAGGTATTGCCCTCAGATAAGAGGGGACTATTGTACTATGAAATCTGGTCTAATGGCATAATTAGCCAATAAACAGATATATAATATAATGTTAGGTAGTGAAAAGTTATATTTTCTTAAGATATGAAAAAAATTAAGTATATAGAGAACGATGACATGATATTCTTGAACAGTGGTTGACATCTTGGCTTACTTAAATGAAGAGAGCGGCAAGTTGGGCAAATCTCTGAAGGGAGAGCAATGTGGCAAAGGGAAAATGAGTGCTCAAAGGCTGAACAAGGCAGGAAAGAACAGCAGGCCAGTGTGGCAGGAACACAGCAAGCACAGGCCAATGTGATCAGAGAGGAACCAGGTAACCCAGAGCTGCAGGGCCTGGTAAGCCACAGGAAGGTCTTTGGATACTGTGCTAAGAAGGGACAGGAAGCCAATAGAGAATGTATCTGACTAATGTTTTAAGAATATCAGTTTCAAGTCTGTATAAATAAAAACAACCACAACAACCTCAATATCACTTACCACCTAACATGTATTGGACATTTGCTGTTTGCCACGTCCTAAGTAATTTGTGCATAATAAGTTGTCTGACACAACCATGTGAGGTAAACAGTATCATTGTTCTCATCCTCACTCCCTAAACTGAGGTTTAGAAAGGCTAACTACTATTCGCAAAGTCACATGACAGGGAATCTGGTTCCAGAACCCACGGAATCAACTACTGTACTAGATTGCAGGAAGGAAAGAGTGAAAAGAGAAGACTAAGTTAGCTATTACAGTTTTCGGGCAAGAAACCAAAGAGGCTGAGCCCAGAGTAGCAAAGTGGGGTGTATTCTGAAGGCAGAAAACCAACATGATTTGCTAATGGGTGGAGAATAAGAGGAGTCAAGAATGACTTTGGGGTTTTCAGCCTAGGTAAGTAAATGAATGGAGTCACTGTACATGAAAATGGAAACACTAGGTGAAAGAGCGTTTTATTAACAAGCATTGGGTAGGAGGGGAGTTAGTTGATCGGTAACTGTCAAAATGAGTCAGACATCCCAGAATAGAACAAAACTGAGGGCACCAGGATTATCCCCCAACATGGGATCTGTTTGTATTAGTCACTTCTAAACTGCTTTCCTTAAAGCCCTGGAGCCCTAGGGAGGTATCTAGGGGTGGGGACTAATGGGGAATGAAGTGATATGAGAAGAGGCCAAACAAGCAGGTTTTACCCCAACCTTCAACTAGAGGCAGTGCTTAGCTGTTTCCTATGTAGTATTTGAATTCCAAGTGAGGATTCTTTGAAAAAATAAAAGGCACAATAAAAAGTTTTAAATGTCACGTTTTGAAGAAAAGTTTTAATAAATTTAATTTAATTGTGTTAAGTTCTATAATCCCCAGTATTGCTCAATTATCACCATCTAAATGTATTATTTAAAAGTGGCCATTACCACTTTAGTCTTATCTGGCATTCCCTAGGTCCCTTGTGCTCTGCTCTGGTGACACGAATACTGAAAAATGAAGAGAAAGGAAGAAGGGAGAGGAGATGAGTGCTCCACAGGGCCTTCATGGATCGCCAACTCAATTAACTTGCCAATACCAGCCCCAGGAAAGGCAGTTCACAACTATAATTGTAAAAAGGATAACACGAAAAACACCAACGTAACCCTATGAATGAGAAAGCCTGAAAAAGAAACGAATGCAATCCACCACTATATAATTCTGAGGTAAATTCCTAATTTGCCACCTTATAGAGACACCAACTTTAAATGTTTCAATTTCCCATTGAGAAAAACCTATTTATACATAAACAAAATAAAACAATACTATTTTTTTCTTTTCTGATAGGAAAATATATATGATTAAAGATGTTCTTTTTATGTTTTCAGAGACAAGGTCTCACTATGTTGCCCAGGCTGGTCTTCAACTCCTGGGCTCAAACAATCTGTCTGCCCCGGCCTCCCAAAGTGCTAGGACTACAGGCGTGAGCCACTGTGCCTGGCTGATTGAGAATGTTCTTAAGATAGGAAACAGCATAAATTTGTTTTTCACTCTGAGAATAAAAGGAAGAGGTCTGCAATGCCTCTGAGGAATCTAGAGACATTTATTTCTAGCATTAGAAGGCTTAAATACTAAGCTGAACCAGGAAACTTATTTTTCTTTTTTGAGCTGAATTATTGTAAAACAGAGATACAAAGCTTAGAGAACTAAACTTTGATGGGTTATAGAACTACTATTTTTACCCTGAATGAAGGGAAAAGGTTTACTATCAGAAAAGTTATCCTATTAAACTATATTATTAAAGCACTATGCTTTGACATAGCACTATGCCTTATGTAGAGGTTGATAGCTAACATCTACTCATCACTCATAGCCCAGGCATGGATTACCTCGGCCATTCTTTACAGCAAACCTTAGGTAGGCACAATTTCTCCCCCATTTTAGAGACCAGAAAACTACACTACAGTGAAAAGAAAAAAATTGCCAAAGGTCAGAGACTCTAAATGG